CGGGCACAGGAACTGCTGCCCGCTGCCCGGGATGGGCTCCAGCAGGGCTGTGAGAGACCCAGCCTCGGGGCTTTGTCTCCTGCAGGCAGAAATGCTTATCCTCTGTCTCTGCAAACCGTAAACCTGACATCCCTCCAATTGATTTATTAGGTCACTGCAAAGGTCAGCAAAGAATCCAGGTGCCGCATGGAACATTTCTGTGGGTAGTTTGTACCCCAACTGCAGTGGTGGCACGTGCTCCCTTGCAGTCAGGGAAGTGCCACTGAACAAGCAGGGTTCTGACCGCTGTGGCCGGGACCTGCCTGAAATGACTGCAAATTAAGCCTTTTAATGTCCCCAGCACACCCTCTTACTCCTGTGCCTGGAGACGGTGATTAAGGGCAAGGCGCCGTGCAGCAGGCCTGTGGGGTGGGGGAGGTGGGGGGGGGGAATACATTACCTTGGCTAGTACTGTGGAGCAAGCATTTAGGGTTTGATCCTGTCACCATCATTTCTGCTTGGACAGCAGCAAGTGCCTGTCATTTCTAGTACTGCACGTGTTTTGAATATAAATGTGCTTTTTCATCTTTAATCTATTCAAATGGCATTCTTGTTCTTCCTGCGATCTAAATTTTATATCTGCATAGCACGCTTGATGATGCATTACCTCACGACGTGATGCTATAAAATTATAGATTTCCCAAAAGATGCAGAGATTCACCTATGATGATTCTTACGGTGAGCATAGCATATAAAGAAACAAATTGGTGACAAGGAACAGAGAGGGAATCTATTTGTGGCTTCCCCAAACTAGGCATTCTCTGTTGATTTTATCCATGTTTCTTTTTAAAAAAAGTTAACTGTAGAAAGCACGATAAACTACAATAATGATATGTTAAATGTCAGCATTTTTTTCTTTCATTCTTTGATAGCCATTTTTCAAGTCACTTTATCAAAGAAAACCTATTTACCAGGGCAGAAAATGAAGGTATTTTTAATAGAAAAAAAGCAGAAGTCATGATGTAGTCATTTTAAAAACTTTAGATCAGCTAAATTGTATTTAATCCCAGGATTAATGTAAGGTGTTTGTAAACTGTTGTTTAGAGTAGTGCTTAAAAGGTTACATCACCACTTATGTGCCTGTTTCTTTTCACAATGGGATGCCTGTGAAATCTACAACAATGGTAGTCTATGGCCATCCCTCGCTGTCCAATTGAAACAGGCTCATTAAGAGTCTCCTGGTGTAAATCAATTCAGATTGGTGTTCCCAAAATACGAGGTTTACTACATGCATGCTCTGCAGACTGCAGCATGCAATTATCAGATTCTACAGAGACATATGGGCGCAGCAAATGCCACTGGCTGCAGTGTGGGTTAGGAGTGGAGCACTACTTAGACTGAAAGCAGAGCTTAGGTTTGAAGCAACTGTGTGAGTTGGCAAATGATTTCACCTCTCTGGGCCTCAGCTGTTTGCTGAGTAACATTCACCATCTCAGGGGGATTCTGTAATTATTAAATAGTAGCTATCAGAGGCCTGTCATAGAGTAGCTATCCTGCATGTGTTTCTATTTCTTCATACCTCCTTGCTTCAAAAGGGTGCAGACCCTGGTGTGCCCACATGATGGTGAGGTGACCAGGGCCCATCTGCTCTTCTGGACTTGGACTGTTCCCACAGCTCACCGGTGGCCGGAGAATTCTGCTCACTTCCCCCCCTCTCCCACAGACTGATGCTTCTCTGAGGCCTGCCTCATCATTTCAGCCTAAATTTCAGACTGTGCTTTTCAAAACAGATACCCATGCAGCATTTCCTGCTATGCCAGAGTTTTAGAATAATGAAATCAAAAGCGACCAGGTCCCACCCTTCTGAAGCTGTCTGACTCTATAGGCACTAGAGAAAAAGCAAAATCCTTTCGGTGGTTCTAAGGGTTCTGTTTTATGGACCCTGCGGTAATGGGACTATATTTTACTTGTTAAATTACCTGGAACAGTCCTTTAGGGGATTACCGATAGAGCCCTATTAATGAGTTTCATCAACATACGTCTACATTTGCTTTTACAATAATTTGTATCTCCTAAGAGTGCATTTTGCTGGCAGCCCTCAACCCATTTCATGTTGGTGGAGAAAATGCTTACAGGGAAATAAAGGCACAAGTGTGTAAGAAGACCCATGAGAGCCTTCTTCTAAAGAAATAACGACACCGCTACAAACAACACGAATGCGGAAACACTTACGGCAGGGAACAGAAAAGTCAGGATTCTTTTTCTAAATGGGTTTTGTAAAGGTGTTCACTTTACACACGAGAGCAAATGCCACATGGGCATTCAGGGCGAAATGCTGGGAAGAGTACTTTCAAAGGAGGATGACTGGACAGAATATTTAAGAGGCAGGTGCCTCGCTGGGGAAGGCTGAAAGTAGGCTAACCCAAACCCTGACACAGGCTGGGTCCGGGAGCCCCTGAAAAGCATGCTGTAGTGGAGAATGAGGGGGCTCAGCCGGGAGCTATTTTTAAAAAGACCAGAGATCTACATTCAGACATACAGTTGCTCTGCCCTTCTGCTGACTCCCTGTTCACCAGCTCCAGTCAGGAGGAGGGCCCCTGCCCTCCATCTCCACCCACCACAGCCCCCCAGGGCACCTCCCTTTTCAGCTCCCCCGCGGATGGGATGGCTGCAGGTGCCCCACAGGTTTCTTCTCTGCACACGTGTCACTGGCCCCGCAGCCCAGCCGCCGCCCTCCTGGGGCAGCTTCCTCTGCAGTCAAAGGCTTCCGCCAGGAGCTGTGGGGAGGAAAAAAAAAAAAAAGTAAAAAAACGCTGATGGACTTAAGATCTCAGAGGGTGACCTGAAACCGAGGGAAGGGAGCTGGCAGAAGGAAAATGAATTCATGAATAGCTAAGAGTGGGGTGTACTAGGCAGACTCGCAGAGCGTGAAACAATGTGGTTCCTGGGGGGGAGGGCAGGTTAAAGCAAATCCATTCTGCCACTTTTCATCCGCATTGGGTAACTGGCAGCAGGCAAAACTATGGCTTCTGTAGGTTCTCTCCCTCACCCGCCCCTCTCCGGAGAAGCCTTTCCCATTCTTGGATCACCAATGAATGTGAAGGCCAAGGATATGTGTGGGCTGTATAAAGTCATCAGAATAAAGGCCTTAACATGTCTGTCAGGGCCAAGCCAAATCCCGAGAGCCCAATGACTCAGGCTTGAAATCCTGGAATGATTGATGTGGATGGACCTCCTGATAGATTCAACTCCAAACGTCCGTGGTCCTGAAGTTGCATGACTTGAGACCATAGAGATCGGTTAGAACCCCCCTGGAAGTTCGGGCTGGATTCTTTCTACCAGGAAGGGCGTGGGCTTCAGCAACGAACGATCAGCAACGAAGGCTTTTTAGAGCTGCAAAGAAGCCCGGAGGTTAGGACGCATCTCCTGTCGGGGCGGCGCCGAGGAGTGCAGTACCTCCGGGAGCATCCGTGGTAGTGGCTCCTAGTACTTCCCCCACTCAGCCTGCCAGGGAAAGCTGTGCCGGCTTTTCCATTGGAAAACTGTTAGCCCTCTTCCCTTCAGTTTGCTATTGAAAGAAAGAAAGAAAGAAAGAAAGAAAGAAAGAAAGAAAGAAAGAAAAGAAAGAAAGAAAAACAACCCCCAAAAAACAAAAAGACAGGAAGTTGCACATCAAATGCGTCTCTTAAACACATTAAACAAAAATTGAGTGCTTGTTTAGAGAAATCTTTGTTATACTGTTAAATGCCTGCAGCCCTCCACGAAACCTGGACTGTCTAGCATAATGTGGGTGGAACGCTCTGCAAACCGCAGGGTTGTATCAATGTGCATTACAGAGCGCACATTGTTTCAGGGATCGGGGTGTTTCCTAAAGAAAACCCATGGATGTCTGAATGTACCTGTAATCTAATTATTAGAATGGACCCGGGGACGAATCACGCGGCTATTCGCTGTCCGCCCCAGAACGAGGTGTCTCGGGTCTGAGTCCTCCTCCCGGGAGACCGCCCCGGGCGCTCGGGGCTGGCGGCAGCCGCTTCTCTCTGAAAACCAGCCACCTGCCTGGCTGGTCGAAATCCTCAGGTTGGAGGCCACACAGGTGTAAAAACAGGGAAAGGGGCTTTTAGAGTGACGGAGTTGGCGGTGTCGAGCGGGAATTCAGCTTGATGAAGGAGGTACGGGCGCCGTGGATCAGTCCGTGGCGCCCCGCTGCAGAGCTCGCCGCTGTCTTCGCAAGTCGGTTTTCACCCGGGTTAGTTACAAACTCATTCTCGGCTCTCCCCCAACTACACGCTTCAGCACACTAAAAACACTCGCGGCGTCGTTCTGCAGAAAGGAATGGGAACATCTAGGAACACGGAAAGGCTGCTATTAACTGCTCTCTAAGGGGTTAGAAATGCCAAAACCAACACCGGCAGTGCCGCAGTTTCACGTGTGTGCGCACGCAGAAGCAGCACATTAAAGACAAACAACCAGGAGAAAGGGAGGTGAATTAAAGAAAGTGCCATACATAGCCACAAAGACATAAAACTTTCCTCCCGTATAGGCCTTATACATGCAAGCTTAAACTTTTCACTTTAATCACTAATGTCCTAGAGGCACTGCCTTATCCCCTTAAACCCCAAGGCGGGGACGGTGGAGGAGGACCCCGGTGGGGAAGGGGCGAGTTAGGAGAGAATTTCAGGGGCGAGGGTGACTCCGAGATACGCGGATATGGAAAAACTAAGGTGTCAGTAGGGAGTGAGGATCCATTACTGGGGACCCGCCATACGAGTGATGCCGAGTCAAGAAGTAGGCTGGGGGTGGGGGTTAGGGGAAGGGAATGAGTGAGGGGGAAGGGGTCTCAGGGAAGATCCAGGGCCTCGCCGACAAGCGCAAAGGCCGGGCGCCGCAGCCCGGGAGCCGCCTGTCGCTCGCCCCCGCCTTCCCTTTTGCGCAGAATCCTCCCCTTGGCTGCAGCAGCGCGCTGCCCCCACCGGCCCGGCGCGCCGTGATCGATCGCAGGCTGCGTCAGAATGCTCCCCGCGTATAAATACGGGTGGCAGGACCGCGCCGAGCCGCACACAGCCATCCACCTTCTCCTCTCCCTCTCCCTCTCTCCCCGTTCTTCTCTCTCTGTAGGCCCCCATCTCCGCCGCGAGCCAGAGGGGCTCCGACCGCCACCATGAGTTCCTTCAGCTACGAGCCGTACTACTCGACCTCCTACAAGCGGCGCTACGTGGAGACGCCCCGGGTGCACATCTCCAGCGTGCGCAGCGGCTACAGCACCGCGCGCTCCGCTTACTCCAGCTACTCCGCGCCGGTCTCCTCCTCGCTGTCCGTGCGCCGCAGCTACTCGTCCAGCTCCGGCTCCCTGATGCCCAGTCTCGAGAACCTCGACCTGAGCCAGGTAGCCGCCATCAGCAACGACCTCAAGTCGATCCGCACCCAGGAGAAGGCGCAGCTGCAGGACCTCAACGACCGCTTCGCCAGCTTCATCGAGCGCGTGCACGAGCTGGAGCAGCAGAACAAGGTGCTGGAGGCTGAGCTGCTGGTGCTGCGCCAGAAGCACTCCGAGCCCTCGCGCTTCCGGGCGCTGTACGAGCAAGAGATCCGCGACCTGCGCCTGGCGGCGGAAGACGCTACCAACGAGAAGCAGGCGCTCCAGGGCGAGCGCGAAGGGCTGGAGGAGACTTTGCGCAACCTGCAGGCGCGCTATGAAGAGGAGGTGCTGAGCCGCGAGGACGCCGAGGGCCGGCTGATGGAAGCGCGCAAAGGAGCCGACGAGGCCGCGCTCGCCCGCGCCGAGCTCGAGAAGCGCATCGACAGCCTGATGGACGAAATCGCCTTCCTGAAGAAAGTGCACGAAGAGGAGATCGCCGAGCTGCAGGCGCAGATCCAGTACGCGCAGATCTCCGTGGAGATGGACGTGTCCTCCAAGCCCGACCTCTCCGCCGCGCTCAAGGACATCCGCGCTCAGTACGAGAAGCTGGCCGCCAAGAACATGCAGAACGCCGAAGAGTGGTTCAAGAGCCGCTTCACCGTGCTGACCGAGAGCGCCGCCAAGAACACCGACGCGGTGCGCGCCGCCAAGGACGAGGTGTCCGAGAGCCGCCGCCTGCTCAAGGCCAAGACCCTGGAGATCGAAGCGTGCCGGGGCATGAACGAAGCGCTGGAGAAGCAGCTGCAGGAGCTGGAAGACAAGCAGAACGCCGACATTAGTGCTATGCAGGTACCACGCCGTGCAAATCAGAGTGGGGGCGGGGAGGGAGCTGTAGGTGCAAGTTGCGGGGGTGGGGGTGAGGGTGGAGAGCCGAAGGCGCGCCCGGGAAGTGGAGGCCGGAGAGGAGGCGTCGGCTAGCAGCCAGTGGGGAGCTGAACTTGGCTCCCTGGAGACTGTGTGGGAGGGGTGGGGCAGTTGGAGGGCGGGGGTGGGGGCGCGACTGCAGTCTGAGGGGACGCCTTTGGTGCAGTTGAATTTACTCCGCATTAAAGCTGCATAGCCCTGCAAGGGTAGGGTGGGGTGGGTGCAGGGGTGGGAGTTGGGCGTTGCCTCTGGCCTGCCTCTCTGCTGTCCTTCATTAACCACATGTAGCTTTGCAGCACAGATCGGACCATCTGCTTAATAAATTCAGCAGAGAACTTTCATTAGTTCGGAAGGATACCTGTGCCTAAGCATGCTTTAGACTGGTTTTATCAGCCACTCCTGTCCCTGAGGTAGACAGGAATACAGTCACCACTGTAGAAGGTAATGATGTTCACAATAAAACATTTTTGTTTTTTGAGGATCTTCCTTTTCCCGGAAGGAGAAAAAATAATGTAGATCCATAGAAAATATTTCAGATAAAATTATTATTTTTTTTATCTAGCTACTTCCTATTCCTGTAAAGGGAGTAATTTCTTGCACGTGATCTGGATAAAGTTCACTAATGAATGACACACAGTGTTTCAAGTCAGTTAAAAATATTTTTTTTGCAGGCATTTTACAGTGATCATTAGACTGTAATCATGAAAAGAAAGCAAAGTATTTTTCTTCCATCAGATTAAAAAAATTTTTTTTAGTTTTCATTTCCTGCTCCTGAAGCTAAATTGTTGTTGTTGTTGTTTATTATTCCAAGGAAGGAAAAATTAAACAAGAGAAAAGGCAGTTCTTTTAGGGGAGATTTTATCTAAGGAGTGCACTTTGGTTCTAAATAGGTTAGGCCTTTGCAGCCTTACTACAGTAAACTGATACCACTCTGATTTATGCTTGGATTTTTTTTTTCTGTCCCCCACCAGGACACGATCAACAAATTAGAAAACGAATTGAGAACCACAAAGAGCGAAATGGCTCGGTACCTTAAAGAATACCAAGACCTCCTCAACGTAAAGATGGCTTTGGACATTGAGATTGCAGCTTACAGGTAAAAACAGGGTGGGGTGGTAGCAGCCAGTCAGCTTTAGGAAGAAATTCCTCTTTCATTTACACGGAGTCAGAAGCCTTCAAGAATAGCCCTTCGAAATAGATGTTTGCTTTTTGGCTTATTAGACAAATAGGGAAGAATTTGACCCTGTGATACGAGTTCTACTCTTAGTTTCTCATTACATTTTCAATCGAATAGACAGGACTATTTTGTTTGTTTTTCTGCCCCCTCCCCCGCCCTGGTGTCAGGCACAACCACCTCAGACATGAGGTTTTGCTAATTCCCAGCCCTGCACCTGCTCTCCTTTGCCTAAAGGAGTGGTGGGCTCAGATCTGCTGTTATTCAACACACTTCCTGTGTTCTAGTTTATTAACCCCATCCTCCCCTGTCTTCCCAGGAAACTCTTGGAAGGTGAGGAGACCCGGCTCAGTTTCACCAGCGTGGGAAGCATAACCAGCGGCTACTCCCAGAGCTCTCAGGTCTTTGGCCGATCTGCCTACGGCGGTTTACAGACCAGCTCCTACTTGATGTCAGCCCGCTCCTTCCCGTCTTACTACACCAGCCACGTCCAGGAGGAGCAGATCGAGGTGGAGGAGACCATTGAGGCTGCCAAGGCCGAGGAAGCCAAGGACGAACCCCCTTCTGAAGGAGAAGCAGAGGAGGAGGAGAAGGAGAAGGAAGAGGCTGAAGAGGAGGAAGGAGCTGAAGAGGAAGAAGGTATGATAAAAAAAAAAATCCCTACAGCTTCAAGTACTGTCAGGGCGTGGGTATTTGCTAGGAGATGGGTAGAAGTGAAACCTTGCCTATGCCAAGAAGTCTTATTCATATGTGACTTGAGAATCTTATTTAAAGGGGTTATTTAATCCCTTTTGTCTAATTATCCAACAAGCCTTGAGTAAGTACCTGATTTCTCAGACTGGCTGCCCTCTCAGAGATACAAATCTCCACTTAGCTTGGTAGGTTTTTGAAAATAACATTTCAGGGGCGCCTGGGTGGCTCAGTCGGTTGAGCGACCAACTTCCGCTCAGGTCATGATCTCACGGTTCCTGCATTCAAGCCCCGAGTCAGGCTTAGTGCTGACAGCTCAGAGCTTGGAGCCTGCTTGGGATTCTGGGTCTCCTGCTCTCTCTGCCCCTCCCCCACTCATGCTCTCTCTCTCTCTCTCTCTCTCTCTCTCAAAAAAGAAAAAAATTTTTAAAAGAAAAAGAAAATAACATTTCAAAATATCCTCCTCCTGCTATCTTTTTATTCCCAGTTAACATTTTAAAAAACCCGTTTACCCCAGCAGTTTGGTGGCCTAAAGAACAAAAGTCGTTTTTTTGTTTTTATTTTTGTTTTGAAGTAACTGTTTGCCTTTTGACTTTTCTAAGAGGAAGGCATTATGTCTAGTGCTCAGCACTGTCCCTTGCTAGTGTTTGGGGAGGTAGAGCTGAGGGGTTTGGGGGAATCTTTCTGACCTTCGAATTTTCACACGGAACTTTAGCAGAAACGTGTTGACCCACGTACCCTGGATTTGGAGTGTGTCAATTTTCTTTTTATGTTGAAGCTGCCAAGGAGGAATCCGAGGAGGCCAAGGAGGAAGAAGAAGGAGGTGATGGCGAAGAAGGAGAAGAGACCAAAGAAGCCGAGGAGGAGGAAGAGGAGAAGAAAAATGGAGGTGCTGCCGAAGAGCAAGCCACTAAAAAGAAAGATTGAGCCCCTCTTTTCCTTAATGATTCCTGGAAGAATTCTCCCGAAATCAGGTCAACCCCATCACCAACCAACCAGTTGAGTTCCAGATACTATATGAATTAAGAAGTCAATATATGTATACTTCTGAGATGACTTAGGTTGGACTTTAAATGTCGTGCTATGACTTTTTTCCTTATGCAGAGTATCTGTTTGCTTGCAGAGTGGCTTCCTGGCTTGCTGCCAGCCTGTGCATGGTCCACGCTTACGAGTTCAGGATCTATGGCAATGTGAATAATTCAGATGTTTACAATAAATACACACACACACACACAGACACACACACATGAATAAATGAATTCACTAATGTTAATGTTAAACTTCATGGTAAAAATAGTCCTTTGAACCTTTGGTGGTTAGAAATTAAAGACCTCGAATCATGTGCAATAAATAGTAAATAAAGTTACACTGAATGACATTCTTTGCTGTGGTTGTTGACTTAATTAAGATCTCCTAAAGAAGGCAGCAGGGTAAGCCATCTACAACTAGACTGTCGACCTCCAAAATTTCTTTATGTCCAAATGTTAACAATTACAATGCATTTCCCCCCTTAATTGATCATTCTGAGGGGGTGCATGTAGGTCAGGACCATTCATGAAATCTCTCCCCTCAAAACTTTGGCTGAGAATAAACTTGAGTACATGAGAATCTCTGGGGTTTTTCTTTTATAATTAGCAATATATTTTGCCCCATAAAATGTATAATGTTGCAATCGGCTTTCTTGGAGGCAATGGTGTAATATAAAAACACTTTTGTGGTAAATAGGTAACTTAAAAATATAATATGGATAGAGTATGAATTAATTTCACCCACCCCTTACTATAATCGCCTTATCTTAATATAATCTGAATATCATGGGCAGAAGTTGAAACCCAAGCAGTTGATAGAATCAGATGGGGTTTTTTTCTGCGTATAATTTGGAAGGAGAGAGTAAGAATATAAAAGATTATTGACCATTGCAAACGTATTACCTGCAATCCTGAGCTCGTGATTCAGTGTGTTGTTAGCTTGATTCCGTCGCCTCAAGTTAACAATATGGTTTACTTGAGCATTAGCCACCCATTTTAAGCTTTTTAAAAACTACAGATACAGATAATTTATTGTCTGTCACTAAAGGGAGGAGATTAGATACCAGTATGTCACATTGCCATTGCTCTGAGTGTCTTTGTTGGGAAATATTTGGATTTCAGTGATTGCTCTAACTGGTTGGACCTTGCATCAAGTACACACCCCATCCATCCTCCCTGTTCACTGTAAAGTCATGAAAGCTCTTGCACTTGCACTTGATGTGGAATGTAGATGAAATTAACTGATTATTCGCTGTTCTGCTTTTGTTCCTACACAATTGCTTTTTCAGCTAGTTTTGTTCAGTGTTTGTTCTTTAGACAGCTTTTAAAAGTTAATGAACCTGAGAGCAAAGTGGTCTTTATTTAAATTTATCTGAGTCTTCACACTACCTATTTAGAGTTAAATATATATCGGTAATATAATTTCTTTTCATGATGCTATTGATTTGAACTATGACGATTCTCAGTATAGTGGTGTCGGCAAAGACTAGGAGTCGCCTCAGAAACCAAGCTTTTCACATTTATGTTCATTAAGGATGGGATGCTAGACATGATAAGTCTAAGAAAGATGCAAATTACATGTACAAAAGTAACTTTAGCCAAATGGAAATGGTTGGTTTGAGAATTACCTGAAGTAAGAACTCTGTACCATATTCTATCCTGTGTGCCAAAATAAAATACTGAAAAACCAAAACTAAATGGATTTGGATGTCTTTAACAACATCTGTTTAAATTTGGTTCTCTCTCTCTTGCTCGCCATAGGGCTCCCCATATTTCCCCTCTCCCTGTTAATGACACCACTCCCCAGTCATCCAATTCTGCAAACCAGAGAGATTAGGCATGACATCAGACCTCTGATTGCTTCTCCCCAATCCCTCTGGCTAACCAAGTTTTCCTGATTTTATTGCCAACATATGTTGAGTCTCTCCATCCACACTTCTCCATCTACACTGACACCACCCTAGGAGCCTACCAGCAGCTAGTCTTCCCTTTCTTTGATCGGCACAGTAAAGTCATCGTTTGAAAAGGAAATTTTGATCATATCATCCCCTTGATTAAAATCCTCCAGGGGCAACTGGGTAGTTCAGACGGTTGAGCGTCTGACTTCAGCTCTGGTCATGATCTCCTGGTTTGTGAGCTCAAACCCCATTTGTGAGTTCGAACCCCACATCTGGCTCGCTGCTGTCAGCCTGTCAGCACAAATCCACTTGGGATCCTCTCTCCTCCTGTCTCTCCCCCTCCCCTACCTGTGCTCTCCCCAAAATAAATAAATATTTTAATTTTTTAATGTTTTCTTTATTTCTGAGAGAGAGAGAGACAGCGTGAGCAGGGGAGGGTCAGAGAGAGAGGGAGACACAGAATCTGAAGCAGGCTTCAGGCTCTGAGCTAGCTGTCAGCACAGAGCCTGACGTGGGGCTCGAACCCACAAACCATGAGATCATGACCTGAGCCGAAGTCAGACGCTTAACTGATGGAGCCACCCAGGCGCCCCAATAAATAAATATTTTAAAAAATCCTCCAATAGTTTCCCAACTCTTAAGATAAAAATCAAAACCTTTTAAATGATCTTCAGGGACAACATAGACCTGACCACAACTCCTTCTGTCTTCCTACCGTGTGGATTCCGATGTCCCTTACTTCCGGTGCTTCCACCACCCTGGCCCTCTGTTCCTCCACCTGTCACAGGGTTTTTGCTGATTTCTCCATCTGGAGTATTCTTCTTTCCTTCCCTCATTCTCATAGTTCAGTCGTCATTCCCTTGGGGAAGCCTCCCCCAATATTCCTCTACTAAATGTGTGCTTAAGACCCTGTAGAGTTTGTAGACATTTACACACTTGCAATCAGCATCTATTTCTACGATCCTCTGATAAATGTCTACATTCCCTGCCTAAGTGGGACCTTCAGGAGCATGGCTATCAGACCTCATGCTCACCATTTTATCCCAAGCATCTAGCATTGTTCCTACCATAGTCAAACACAGACAGACACTGAATTCATAACCTCTCGACAGACTGGAATGCCTACAAAGCCAATAGTATTTAATTAATCAGTCCCAATCCCAGTTCCAACGCCTTGTGGGAAGAGTAGAGATCCAAGAATCACTGTTTCGTCTGTATTCTAGGGTTGCTTGTTTTGCAGCCCTGGCTATATATTCACCCCTACCCCCACTCCAGCCTCAATCGGTTCAGCTGCATAAAGGTTCAAAGCTTGATCTGTCAAATCCTTTCTAGATCCATGCATGATTCAAAATTCCTGAAAACTTTGTGGAAGTTCAGGCTAAACTGTCTGAACGGGAAACATATATATAATTCTTATGCTCACACCAAAATCCATCACTTAAAGTGAATTGCTCAACTTAGTGTAAAGTTTCATTCCTACCATTACATTGGTAAGCAATCAATCTGGTTACTTTTTTTTTTGTTAATGCTGTCAGAACAATCACTGTGTCCCAGGCACTGATTTGAGGGTGTTACATGTATTAACTCATCAATTCCTTTCTTATGTCAATGTTCTCAGTCCAGTATGATTATAATCCCCATGCAACAGATGAGAAACTAAGGTGAGGTAAGTTGACCAAGGTCACGCAGCTAGTTTGTGGAGGACCTGGGATTCAAACCTCACAGTCAGCTCTAAAGTCCGTGCTCTTATCCTGTACATCACACTGCCTCTCCTTTGCAGTCAGGTTGGGATGCATCCTTGTGGAACCAAAGCAGATTTTCAGGGGCAGGCATGACAGTGGCCTGGGTGTTTTCACACAATTACAGGAATTTTTGGAATGTGGTTCTTATGCCAAACAAGGGGCACATTTGCATTTAGTGGTCCACTGTAGTTCCTTAGGATGCTCACGCTTTTCTTTAATTCCTCTGATTATTTACACCCATATCTTGATTCCTCTGCTTAACTTTTACGCTGTTGGAAGGCAAGAACCAGGTTTTGGAAACAGAGATAAATATAAAGTTTATCTTCAACGATCATCAATTTCCGGGGATGTTAGTTCTAACGGTGTTATTCTATTTGGTCATCACTTTCTAGTTTTGCTCATATTTAACTGGTTCTCTTGTTTATTTCTCTCTCTGCTCTTCCTTTTCTTTGTCCTCTTCCTCCTCCTCCTCCTCCCTCTGGCATATCTTTCTTGTTGTAAGCCATTCCAAATTATTCTAGGAAAGGGATAAAGGTTGATGAAATAAGTGTCTTTGTTTCTTTCTACCACATCCAACAAAGTGTCTTGCATGTAGTGGGCATTTTAAGAAATATTTATAGAATGGCAAAGGCTTGATGATGTTTCTGAGAACTTTCCATAAATATGGCCAAGATGGAGAATTCTTTCTCTCTTGGAAACAGAGTGTGAACTATCAGAATTGGTCCAGTCCTAATTCGTGTTTGAAAGCGGGGAGGATAATTCTGAGTATTGTCCTCTTTGGAAAATGTCCAGCAGAATGGCATGTTATACAAGCTATTCATGGGGACCATTTTCACTTAAAGTTTTCTAAAAAATTCCCAGCAAAGGTCTTATATATGAGCTAGAAAGTCAAAAGGTAAAGCAACATGAGAAAAAAAAGAAAATTTCAACAGCCCCAGAACATAACTATTAGTAGTCCTTTTTTTCCCCTACCTTCACATAGGTAATTATTTGTATGGTGAGTTTTAAAAAAATAATGTAACAACAGTATTCAAAACAAATTTAAAATGGAAAAAATCACATTTCCACAATTCAAGCACCATTATTTTCATTTATATATTCTTCTTTAATCCTTGCTTCTATTGATGCATATTTAGACATAGCTTGTCCATTCATTCCATTCATATTAATCATGTGACAGGTGTTGTTCTAAGTACAAGGAATGAGACAGACAATATCCCTGCTTTCAGGGCCTTCGGTGGTGTGTGTGTGTGTGTGTGTGTGTGTGTGTGTGTGTGTAAACAGACAATAAACAAGTAAATTAGTGGGGCGCCTGGGTGGCTCAGTCGAGCGTCCGACTTCAGCTCAGGTCTATCTCACCGTCTATCATGATCTTAGCCTCGTGTTGGACTCTGTGCTCACAGCTGGGAGTCTGGAGCCTTCTTCAGATGCTGTGTCTCCCCTGCTCACTCGCTCTCTCTCTCAAATAAATAAACATTAAAAAAATTTAATTTGATGAATATTATGTAGTTATCAAAAATAAGGTACTGTTTACTACTTTCCCCATCCACATATTCCTTCTGTCAGTAAAATAAATCATTCCACATCATGCCATGTCTACTACCACTGCCCTTTGTTGCGTCATCCCACCAACCTTCCTTATCTGAGCTCAAACAGTTTTTTAGTTAGTCTCCCCACTTGGAGTCTTGCTTTCCTTATGGTCCTCATAAAGCAGAAATCAGATCACATCACCCTGCCCAACTTAACCCCTTCAAAATTTTACAGCACAAGGAATAAAGTTGAAACTCCTTGGGTTACAAGCCCCTTGCATAATCTGGCCATTGCCCTTTTACTCTCAGCCCTGTCTTTTACTTTCTGCCTCATTCTTAATATTCAGCAATAAGCTTAAGACATTTTTCTGGGCTGAAGCAAGCACAGCTCCTGCACTTGCTGTTCCCTCTACTTGGAACATTCTTTCCCCACATCACTGAATGTCTGGCTCGAGTCCATGTCACCTACTTATTAATTAATTTACTTGTTTACTTGTTTTTTTAAAATTTTTTAATGTTTATTAAAAAACAGAGAGAGAAACAGAGCACAAGCAGGGGAGGGGCAAAGAGATAGGAAGACACGGAATCTGAAGCAGGCTCCAGGCTGTCGGGCCCCCAGCTGCCAGCACAGAGCCCGATGCAGGGCTCGAACTCATGAACCACAAAATCATGAGCTGAGCCAAAGCTGGATGCTCAACTAGGCCACCCAGGTGCTGCAATATTCATCAAATTAATATGCAGTAAGTATTAGCTGCTGGTGGCTGTATAACAAATCACTCCAAACCTTAGTGGCTTGAAACAATCCCAATCACCCATTATGTCTTAGTTTCTGCAGATCGGGAATTTGGGAGCAGCCCTGTTGTGGTGTTTTGGGTCTAGGTCTCTAATGGGGGTGCAGTCAGATGTTGACCAAGGTTATTGGAAGGCTTGACTAGGCCTGCAGAATTTACTTCAAGGTGGGTCACTGACTTGGCTGGTGACTTCTGCGCCCTGTGGGTCTTCCCATGTGAGCGGCCTGGAGGATCCTTAGGCTACTGCAGCTGGCCTTTCCCCAGAGCAAGGCTCCTGAGAAACCAAGGCGGCAGTTGCAATGTCTTTCATGACCTAGTCTTGAAAGTGACACGTCATCCTTTTCACTGTATTCTTTTGGTCACAGAGATGGGCCTTTCTGATTCAGTGTGAGAGGGAGCTACAAAAGGAAACAGATATCAAGGGGTGAAGATCACTGGAGGTAGTGGGCATATGATGATGTCTATTTTGAATAAACCATCCATTTAAGAGATTCTGCAACAGTTCCAGCTTATTCTTGCTGTTCTTATCACTGTACTTGTCTCTAATTGATCAGATGTTCCAATTTAAGTTTAAAAATATGTTCATGAAAATTATAGACAGCTTAGCAATGAATATCTCTTCAAGCTTTTCCTATTGAAGTATTTATTTTTTTAAAGTTTATTCATTTAATTTCTTGAGAGAGAGAGAGAGAGAGAGAGAATCCCAAGCAGTCTTTGCATTGTCCGTGCAGAG